TTTTTTAGAAAAATCAAAACATGATATATATTTTGAATTAAAATCACAATATCTGAATATAAAACTTAGTCTTAGTTCATTTTATAAGTTATGTTCAAAAAATTTTAAGAAAGCACAAAAAAAACTGATATGTATCAAGTATATATTAAGGGACAACAAGTTGAAAGAAAATTACAACAACTTACATCTGTAACATCATCAACTGATCCTATTATTCTCGAAAATTTGCAAGAAATGATTAATTATTATTATCATCATCGTAATTTTAAAGATCAACAAAATTATTTCTATAAGCAATCAATTGAACGTACAACAACTTCATCCTGTGTAATTGTGATAAATTTCAAGGAAAATATTAGAATCGGGGGTGGTCCAGTTGAGACTGGAAATAATTTTTTTGAAAAAACTCAAGTATCTGTTCTTGGATTTGCAGTATATTATCGTGAATCTGATCAAGGCTTACATACACAATATTTTGATTACTTTTCTGATGTTTTGAGTCATGATACATCATTCATTATAGACTGTATTACAAAGCTTCTTAGTTATTCTTTTATGTCAAGGTTTAATGAAGTTTGTTTTTGGTCAGATTGTGGGCCTCACTTTCGTTTTGCTGAATTGATGGATTTTTTTTTTGATACATACCTACAGTATGCCAAGGAAAAATTTATTTAAATTATTTTACAGAGTACTATGGAAAAAATATCGTTGATAGTCATTTTGGTGTATTATCTAGATGGTTTTTTGAAGGTGAAGCTACTCGAAATATTTATACAATTGATGATTTGATTAATTTTTTTTGAGAAAAAGCTAATCAAAATTATATAAATATTAATACTTCAATAATGAACTTTGATATTTATTTACGAACACAATGTCAACAAAATATTCATAAATTATGCATTGATAATTTTAAATCATATCAATCATTTGTATGGATTAATAACAAGCTTTATGCTTCTACACTAAGTACATTAATTGATACAGATTAAATGGAGATTAATTATAAAATGAAAAGTATTAAAGACAACAGAAAAACAAAATATGCACAAAAAAAACAAATATTAAATACAGAAGTTCCAGTTGTAATAGGCGTAAAAAGTAGACAAATATTAGAAACTAGAATTAGACTTTCAGATAGATTTTTACAAAATATGATAATATAATTTTATGAAGTAAGGCTCAAAGTAAAGGTGATAACCAATAATGGCTTTGGGTCCGGTTATCTTCCTCCCATGCAGGCCTTACTTCATTATGTTTATAAATGTTAATAAAAAATAAGATGTACATATATTAATAAAAAATAAAATTTTATATTATGTGTAACTTACAAAGTGGTCCGGGTTCGAAAATAATTACCCATTTTGAAGAATCGACATCACTTACTAAATCAATTAATATTTTACTAAATATTATTATTATCATGATCTTAATCATGATGAATTGACAATATCACATGATTTTCGAAACTTTTTTGCAATTTTACCCGTCCATACGTATCAGTATATGGAAAACTATCTTCCGACATTTCTGATCGGGTTAATTCGGACAAAAATAAACCCGAGTACCGGACCATGTTTAGATGTTAATCATCTTTTACCTTTATTGATTTAATAGTTTATCAAATAAACTATAGGTAAAAGATGATTAACATATAAACATGGTCCGGTACTCGGGTTTATTTTTGTCCGAATTAACCTGATCGGAAATGTCGGAAGGTAATTTTCAAGTCAAAAACCCCATATCTCGGATCAGAGCTGATAATGAATAATTAACTATAACTGACGAGATCAGGTTTTCACTTGGCGGCACTCATATAGATCATGAAAATCACTATTTGAAAATAAATGTCAAATGGTGTTCATTCCCCATATGGGTTAAATTCATCTTAGATAGTGTCTTTAGCAAACAATTTTTGATTTACGAATTCTAAAAAAGATAAATGCAATATGAAATTAGTTGAGGAGGCTAAATTCTGAATTAAATTTCAAAAATTATTTAAAAACAACTTTAATGCATTGGTAAAAAAATATAAAAATATTACACAGCATAAAAAAAGTAAAAAAAGTTACAAATAATACTACAATACAAAAATAAGATTCCTTTGTACTCATCATGAAATATATATTCTCTATTACCGTGATGATCTTTGTCTTAGTGCTTAGCATAGATTGGGCATCAGTCATCGATGGTAAGGCATTTTACAAATTCACATTTTGAATAACTTCATTTTTTAAATTAACTTTTTAACCTGAATCATTCTACCTATTTTATAGCTTCATGCCAATCAGGTGTAAAACCAGATACTCAATCATGTAAGGCTGGTGAATTATGTCAATTAATTCCTGGTTCTGATGATTGTCTACCAGGCGTTTTTTGTGTAAATGGTATTTGCCAACAAACACTAGCCGATGGTTGCGTTGTAGGAGGACGACAACGAAATTGTGCTGAAGAAGATGAGTGTGCATTTAATACTGACTGCATAAATTCAGTGTGTTTCTTCGCCTGTACTGACCCAGATTGCATTGGTATATGCAGACATAATATTTAATTTTATTATTTTGAATGAAAATATAGTATTAGTTTTTTTTATACTTTTTTGAGTTGAAATAGATAGTGCAAACATTTAAAGAAATTAAATAACTTGTCCTTTTTTTAATTGGGGGCCACAGCAAAAGGTGGTGATGGGCCAAAAAAATTTGTTGTAAAAATTTTATTTTTGCAAAAATTAGATTGTTTAAAAAAAAGTTTTTGGCTCATCACTTTTTTCTGTGGGGTCTAATTTTTAATAAATGCCACCAGGACCCTAGTAAATTTGGCATAATGGTGGCAGTAGGCAGTGTTTTACATTGACTGTTCTAAGCCTTTTGGCCTTGTCTCGTCCCATCAATTTCTCAATTATTAGCATGAAAAGCTGTTATTAATGCAATAATAAAATATACGCAAAATTAAATTATAAACATTTTTATTTAAAAGCTAAAAAAGAAGGTTGTCTTAATAAAATTTTAAGTTATTAATATTTTTTTAAAATCTCAAATTTATCCCAACATATGTCACAACTGTTAAATTGATTTGTTGATCCAATATTAGGTCACACAAATTTAATGTATGAAGCTTTTAAACAGACCCGACTGGCCGGCTTTTTTTTTAAATTCATATATAAATTTTTTTAAAAAAAATTTCTTTAAAAACCCACCCAGTTATTAAAACATATAAAAAATTTTTTTTACAAGTTTTCAAATTTGCACCCGGCCAGGTTATGAAAACCAATGAATTAATTTGCATAGCCTTAGTATAGATTAGAGTGGACGGGGAAATGTGATGTGCATATATGTGCATATGTGACATGTTTTTCGTGAATCATATGTGAACATATGTGCGTGCAGTATATAGATTTCATTCAAATTCTTTGCCAAAAGAAGGCATTAA